TATTTTCCTCTGTTTATATTTAAAATTTCCAACATTCAAAAATTTGATTTTTTAAAATTTCAAATATCTGGATATTTTAAATATCTAGATACTCAAACACCTATTTAAATGTAAGGTAGATGTCTTGTGGCTCACATACTTGAGGAATTACCCCATTAAATGTTAGTATGTAGTTCCTCTGTTCAAATTTTCTTTCTCGGATGCAATACTTTTAAAGTTCCAATTTTCTTAATATTGAGGGCTCAAATCAATATATCAACATTTCAGATATTCAAATAATATTTGATAAAATAAAACATTCAAAAATTTACTGAATATTTGATTGTTGAAATTCATGATTATTTACAAAACTTACTGAAACATCAAGCAGTTTGAGTATTCAAATCAAATTATAGGAAAATAAATCTTTGGATGCTTAAATATGAAAAACACACCACAAATTCCTATGCTTGAACCAAATACCTCTGAGCCAGGTAAGAAAAACAGTAAATAAGTTAGTCGGAAAAGAAATTTTATAACATTAATATCTAATATACCTCTAGCCTTAAAGAAGCCTAAAAGAACTAACTGAAAACTGCGTATAGGATTTTTTTCAGATGTTTTACGTCAATGGTTTGAAGGGGTGGTTCGCCTTAATGACACTTTTAAAACAGTAGCTAATCTCGTAACCAGAGGGTTAAAACAGAAAGATTCTGGGACATATTTGTTGTAATTGAGAAAACCGTTTTTGAGGGGTTGCCCAAAAAAGACAACTCAGAATGTCACCTTTTTGGACCCCTTCCTCCCCCTTCGTCTGGCTACGTTAAACTTTCAGCGACCCCCGTAACAAATATTACGTTACAAAAACGAGCCCGCCTCCATATAAACGATTTCTTGTGATTAAAGTTTGTTAATTCTACTTTTTCCTGAACTATTTGTTATTTGAGAATGACTTTCTATCGTGGTGAAAAATTTTAAGAACAGCCAAATTAAGAAAAAAATTATAATAAAATTGATAAACTGCGAACGTCACATTTCCTTAGATCTCTCTCCTTCCTCCTTGTCATACTTCGTCAAGCTAAGACCCTTACTTGCGAACGTAATTTATGAACGACCCCTGAAAAAGCGTAGACTTCCCCTTTCCTTTAGAAATTTACTTTTTCAAGAAATTTCACCATTCCTGTCTTTTTGGGCATTAGTCTATGTCTATACACATATATGAAAGTTCATGTTTTAAACTTTAGAATAGAACAGGTGTGACATTCAGACAGACAGACGTGCAGGTGGACGGAACTACTGAAACTGCAAGGGAACCTACTTGAGCATTAGAGATAGTGGAAAAATATAAAACTTGAGTAGAGAAGTTCTCATAAAATATCGAAAAAGGTCGAATTCAAAACTATGTAATAAACAATTTTTCTAGAAGAAGCAGAAAAGAAAATTGTTAAAAAATGTTTGCAGAGAACTGAAAAGGTCAGTTTCTAGGATTTTTCCAATTCATCGGTGAGACTTTCGGGAAACCTAAAGTACGCTTTGTATGTATCCAACAATTAGTAACCATGGATGTGAAAAATCACAGATACCATCACTTGAATTGCTTCAACTCACTATAAGGACTAGTAATAATTAAATTTTAAGCAATTTATTTAAAGTTCACATCTTCTTAATGTCAACATCAATTAATTATATAAGAACTAAACAAATTGTGTAGTTTATTTAGTTGTATTGACATGATTGTTCGATATTTAAGAAAGAAATGGAATGTGTCAGGTGCTTCCACCAATTCTATTTATCATTATTTCAATCATCCCTTGATAAAAATAAAATAAACAGAGAAACCAAAATCGGCCCTCATTTTACTACACCTAGGTATATTTGGAATCGAGGTTCCACATTGTAATCAATAGTTTAAGACGCCCATGTGATGAAGGGTCAACAAAAAGTGTAAATTTACTGACCCATCGTGTGGATACGGTCAATTGAAACTGATTAGAAACTTTGAAATGAAATGTTTACATTTTCTTGGATATATACGACTAGTTATGAGGATATCGACACCGAATTATGTAATTATTTGCGAAAATTCGTTTTTTTTTCAAATAAGGCCATTTCAGTTTCCGATAAGAAAAAAGGAAAACGATACGATGCGAAAAAAGGAAAATTATTACTGGCCATCGAGGTATAAACAAATTTCCGGTGTAGTGTCAATGGGGCCTATCGGAAAATGTGAGGGCGGTCCTCGAGCAGTGCCGCCTCCAGCCGCAGTCCGCAGTAGTGACGTCCGACGCCTGAACAAGAAGGACTTATTTCACCGTCGTCGTCGTCGCGAAAAAGCGTCGTCTCGCTAGTATCATCAAAGCGAATCGATTTTCATTCAAATTTTCAGTGTTTTATATGCCGCGAAACGCGAGTGCCTATGCAGCAAACTTTGGGCACGAGAACCATCGAACCTTCGAGGATGGAACAGAATGAGCAGCATCTTGCTGATGAATACGTCCAGGGTTTTGATCTGGAACATCTCGGAGATGTGACCGTCAAAAGGGAAGAAAAAGGTCGGGCAACCGCCGATTCGGAATCGTGGATACCTGACGAGGTAACCAGTGCCAAATTTTCCAGGACCTGGCCAGAAGAAAGGAGAATTCCTCCGATTTCACCATCAAACGAATCCATGTACACACCTCAACCCGTACTGATGAATATGACGTTTATAAATGATCCATCTACTCCTCCAGACACACCACCAAGCCAATCTCCGATACCGTACAATGGACACCCTGGATTTATGGACGAAGTTATGTGGTTTCCTCAGAATATGCGGGTAGATCCACAACCTCTTGATCTTCGTCCAAATATGCCTTGTATGGGAAATCCAGTCGACTGGGATCGACGAGATTATGCCCCTTCTGTATTAAGTGTAGAAAACCACCCGACCCTTCAAATCCAAAATCAGCACCAAAGACCTCAAAGTTGTAGTAGTGGCGGAAGTCTCGTTTCCCAACGTAGACATTCGAGTAATTTAACCACTAGTGATTATTCTTCGTGTGAATCATTAACGAATCGAATGCAACATGCCAGCGTGATTTCAAGTGATTACAGTCCGTGCAGTGAAATTCCACCACGAGGACACCATCTTGGCGGTGCAACAAGCGAGTATGGTTCTTGTAGTGATTTAGTACCAAGTCGTAAGCATCATAATAGCATTTCCAGTATCGAGCAATCTCCGTTCGAAGAAAAATATGGACTTCTCGATAAAGTCCTTGTCAAATTGTCAGTAAAAGATCTAAACAAACGAGTCCAGCATCTTCCAAAAGACGAAATAAATCTGATCAAACAAAGACGAAGGACACTGAAAAATCGTGGTTACGCACAAAACTGCCGACACAAACGGGTCCAGCAGAGACAAGATCTGGAAGAGTTGAATCGCAGCTTGAAGGACGATTTGAGGAGGATCAAAACTGAATTATCAGCCATAATACAAGAACGTGACCATTTGAGGCAGAAAATCATATTGTTAAACAAAAACTTACAAGGGTCGCAAATACACCACCTGAACTCCGATGGGCAGAATTCTCCGGAATTTTACCTGTGACAGTACGCTCCGGGCAGAAGGACGTAGTTCTTTGCCCTCCGAAAGACACTCCTTTGGAACAACTACAGCAAGGATAATGAAAAGTGAGACTTGAGTGTATTTGTGTACCTTATGAATAACACTTCGTGGACTGATCCGCGATTTGTTGCACTATTATTTTCCTCTGTTTATAGTCTGTTACTGTTACAAACTCAATTTTTTCTGTTATTTGTTATAGTATTAAGCTGTCCCAAAGGGCAATTGCATATCCTTCATTAATTAAAAACGTAATGTAACTACGTTGGGCAATCATTTCAGTATATGTATATTTTTATACAATTCGACCTCGTCTCTCGAACTACGACCCTTTTGTTGCATCTGCCATTTCGACTTAACAGAATGGTTGTGTTTTTAAAACGATCGTTATATAAATATGTTATTAAAAATTATTATGTAAATAATATTAGCGTCAATAAATAATGGTTTAGAATAACGTGTCGTTTTTTCACCCGGAAGCTTTCTTCAAAAATACACAACAACTTATATTTGTTAAATGTAGCACTACTCATTTATAGGAGTATGCTTACACCAATTAATAAATTTGGTTCATCTTTTTCTTATTTCCAATTGGGCGAAAAAAATATTAGCTATATTCAAAATAAATATGGTCATTAAAGAAAAATAAGGATAAGTGTAACATGAAACAGGTTTTTGTCCTTTATTAATTACATATTATTATCATTTTCTTTTATACCAGACTTTAATCAAACAAATTGCCATTTTAAAACTATTGGCTGTGTTGAAAAACGTTTATAAAGAAGGAGATATTCTATTATCGTAATTTTATTTAAACGTAATGCGATATTTCCTTAAATTATTAATTTCAGTCTTGTTCATTCTTTCGTAATGGAATTCATTACACAAAATAAAAAGGCCACTTTTCAACATATTGTTGGTGAATATTAAGAAATAAAAAATTCCCAGTAATAATAAAGGTAAGTAAAATCATAATAAAGTGATAGACGAGCATTTAAATTATGTTTTTCTTTTGTTGTTCAGAAATAAAGTAAAAGTCTCCAACCAAAATTATTTAATTGATAAAATTGGAAATATAAAGTATTTGGGTGGAGGCGCGTACCACGCTAGAATAAGAGCTTTAAAAGGTTTACGTTACAGTAATAGTTTATGAAACAAACAAAACAACTTAGTTTTATAAGATCTATATTTTGGTTAATTGAATTTAATTGCCACTTTTTTCAAATCGGAATATAAATAGGTCAGGTTTAATATTACCTGATTATCTACCATCAGCTGCTTTTCACAAGACTAATGCAATTGAAAATTTTTAAGCAATACGAACTTCCACTACATATAATTTTTAGAGCTTTGCTACGTACTTTTTTCTTATATTTTTTTCTTGAAATTCAATTTTTAGTTATCACATAATAAGATGACATATTAGGACACACTATTTAAAACCAAGGAATTCGAATTCAAGTATAAAAAGTTAAAACCCATTCAGAAACTTCATTCGTTATTAAGTTCATTAGTATTAATAAATATCTTATTACAGTATTTCAATTATAAAATTACAGGTAACTTGTTTAATTATTGTTAGTAATAGTCAATATACTTATGGATAAAATTAATATATTAATGTCTGTCATAGTGCTGTTGATTATTTCGGTTATTTTCTTAAATTTTCCTCAATGACTGGGTAAACAAAATTATTTTAAAAATCATCTAGAATTTTTCACAATTTGTTCATATACATCTGACCAATGAAGTGTATGGACCACCCTACTGCCGAATAACTTATCCTTATCAGATCCTTGTCAGGATATGAGTCTCGCTCGCACATCTCAAGGTCTATGCTTTATTAAATGTGCGACGACTTATTCCTTTCCCTAAAATTTTATTTATTTTACTTGTGATATTTATACGAATATGTAAATATATACGTAGATATTTGATACTGTTGCTAATTGAAGACGTAACTTGATGGTTTCGAACTGAAGATGAAACCTTTTGGGTGCTTAAACTCGTCCTAGGTTTCTACCCCCTTTCTAATATGAAATTTAGGATTTCCTTATATATGACAAGCTTTGATTCGCGACTTCATCCTAGACAAAAATTTTCAGTCTCTCTCCAGTCTCTCAGAGTCTTTCAGAGTCTCTGAGAGCGTCTCTCACAGTCTCTCAGTTATTGCCTAGTTGTTTTTATGGGTCTCTGACAGTCTCTGTATGAGAGACTCGAACGACAAAAATTCAGATATTCGAGTCTCTCACAGAGAGACTGAATGAATAAAACTAAAAAATTGAGAAATTCGAGTCTCTCGTTCAAAGACTGGATACGAAATGAGGATCTCTCTATGAGCGACTCGAGTCTCTCGTTCAGAGACCCTAGACAGTTTTTTTGACAGTCTCTCGACAGTCTCTCTCAGCGCCACCAGAGAGACTCGATGAGAGACGGAGACTCGAGTCTCGCTTTCAGAGACTCTGAGAGACTGAACATTTTTATCTCGGGTGCATCCACATGATACTATTTCTAATTGTTTATAAAAGGTATAACTATTCAAAAGAAAACTACGTCAACATCATGTATTCGTTCTTCCACCTGGTTTCCCACTGATCATTTAAGAATTCAGCAATTTTCATCTTGTATAACATACATTTGAGATCATAGACGATACAATTGTTATAATTAATAAATAGTCTAAATTAATGAAAAAGAGGAGATCTACTCATATCTGCAAAGTTTCATCGAAATCGGTACAGACAGCCAGACAAATAGTTTTTAATGGTCTTAATAGCATTCAAATAACCATATAAACTTAAAAAACGCAGTTATTCTGTTATTATTCAGATAGACACTTCAATTTTATTTATATGAAAATACAGATTAGAAGATTTGGTTATATAATCAATCACTGAGAGTACGAGAAGATCATCTTGACTCATACACCAGATTCTAATCAAGGTAACCAAATCTGCAGGCACCTTTTTTACAAATAATTTATTGTTTAATTAGCATTTTATAAAACTATCCGATTCAGATAGAAGGAATCTATAGTTTTATTCATTATTTTGTAATCCTCATTCTATAATGATTATAATTAATTTTTCGTTTCTCATGCGGGTGCCGCGGTATTAATTGAACATAAACAATATATACAACAAAGAATGTCTTTCATTTTCACTATTGTTTATGATATTTTTGTGTGTGAAATGGATTGCTATTAGTAATGACGGGGTCAAAGATAAATGCCCAAATTCGAAAGGACTCTGACGCCAGTTGAATTCCGCCTTGGGCTAGCCGTTGTGCATAATCATACAGGCGAATTAAAAGGAATTTTAGAGAAGTAGGGTACAGTAGTAATAATATGAGAAACGAGTTAGGGATCATTTTGATGAAAAATGAGGAAAAGGTGGAAAGAATACTTAGTGAACCTATAGGCAGGTCATGAGTTAGAAGATATATTAGAGAAGGAAGATAGTGTGGAGATAGATGAACTAGGTTATCCCATAATGGGAGAAGAGTTCGATGTAGCATTAAAAAACCTAAAGAATAATAAGGCACCAAGTATAGATAGGATACAGGTGGGAATTTTAAAACATGCAGGACAAGAGGTCAGAGATCGTTTGTTCCCGGAGAATTATAAATGGAACGTGGTAGTAACGATACCTAAAAAGAGAGGCGCGAGTGGGTTTAGAGGAACGCGGGAGGTCATTCTAGCTTTATGGGTAACAATATAGATAACGACAGAAAATGGAAGCAGGGCGTACATAGGATTTGTAGATTTAGAAAGAGCTTTTGACAATGTTGAATGGGACAAGATGTTAAATATACTTAAAAATGTAGGGACGAGTTAGAGAGATAGAAGAGTGATACTTAAATGGTATAAAAAGCAATAGGCAGTTATATAGGTGGAGCAGCAACGTAGAGAAGTAAATATTAGAAAGGGAGTCAGAGGCTGATGATGATAATGATAATGACAATGATGATGAAGGATGTCAGTCCTGAGACTGGTTGGATACGCACCTTCACTCTTTCCTGAGCTAATCTTCGCATTTCCATAAAATTAAAACATTCCATACCTTAACTATTTATAGACAGTAATCTAATCTAGGTCTACCTCTCCTGCTCCTAGCTCCTGTTTCTACGTCTTAAATGTCTCTAACTAACTAAGTCCAAAAAGTACATTAAAAAAGAATTTTGCGTTGACTCCAGTTGGTGGAATCTGAAAAATCATAAGCAAACAGACAAAAAACATCATACTTCTTGCTTAAAATCAATCCTAGTTTTTATCTTAAATAACTGGACGAAACCCCGCATTTTATCATCATCATCATCACAAGGTCGTCAGTCCCAAGACTGGTTGGACAAGTACCTCCACTCTTTCCTATACTGAGCTAATCTTCGCATTTCCCTAAAACTAGAACATCCCACATCCTTTACTATTTGCGAACAGTAATCTAACCTAGGTCTACCTCTAGCCCTCCTAACTCCTGTTTCTGCCTCTAATATGTCTCTGAATATAACATACGAGATCACACCCTACTACGGTTCTAGATATGTTTGCACTGAGTCAGAACAAAAAACTGAAACGCAATAAATATTTGATAAAAATTGCTAATGTTTTCCTTATATTTTCTACAAAATTTGTTTAACCTTTCTACAATTTATAATGAAATTCACAAAGTTGTTGTCGTAAACATTTCATTCAAATTGTAAGAAATTTGCCTGAGCCCCTGTCGATATTTCTCCTACAATTTACCACTACAATTTTATAGTCAAATTTAAGTTTACCGTTAGTTAACCTTACTACAAACTTTAGTCGCATTTTCTACAAAACGACCTCTACAACGTTATAGTAATTTTTCCTACAGCATTTTTCTGAGTGTACGAAACATTGGAACACCTGATAAATTATTGCTACTTGTATGAACCTCTAAGAAAACAAAATTCAAATTCTAATGAATTCCCAAAAACCCTATGGGTCTACGACCAAAACCACATCAAATCTTCGTTTTTTTTTTTATATTACAAATTGCGTTAGATTAAGATCTTCAGTCCTAGATGATTGATATCAAATTATGTATAAGTTATGTACAGACTAGTTTTTATGATCATTATTATTATATAAGATTAAAAGTTAAACATCAGTCACAACCAGAAAGTCCATGAGTTAAGATAAACGTTGTAACTATGAGTAAAAAATAACATTGTAATAGGATAAATCCTGTACACAATAAAGATTAAGCAATGAACTAACTTTGATTTATTAATTTTCTAGAAATTGTATAAAAAGCCTGAATTCCGATAAGACACATACAGCACAATATAATATGTCTGATTATGTTTCTTTATTTGATTAAAAATTGTTTGCATTAAAGAATACGTAATAGGTACGTGTGCTAGGAATTTACAGTAAATGTCTATATTTAATGTCTAATGTTCGTG